TTCATCAGAACCAGTCCCCACCTTTTACAAATGCGAAAACTGAGGCTCAGAGAAATAAAACGATGTGCCCTGAATCAGACAGCCCGTTATTAGCAGAGCTGGGAATAGAATCCTGGTCTTCTGACTCCTAGCTTGATACTCTTTCTACTTTATCACACTGAACTGTACTTTTTCTCCCCTGTACTTTTCTTTTTATGCAATTCATTATATGCTGAAGTTCCGAGTGGAGGAATTGAAATTTTCATTATAATTTTAATAAGGTGCCACAAAACATGAAATTCACATTTGAATCCCAATTTTCCTTCTTAGACTATAAAGAATGCTGAATAGTAGAGACAAACCAAAACCACATAAATTACCATTGCGTCTGGACTTCCCAATTTTGATGGTTATATATGTGCCACTGTAAATCTAAACACTTCTCTTACTGTGCCTTTTTAAGGTTTAATCTTATACACAGCTAATTATCAGCCCTGCCAGCTCTTTGACTAATTTTATTTTCTTCTGGCTCAAATAACCCTTGCTTGAGCCTTAGTAAAACATCTGTCAAGAAGACTCAGAATGTGGACTGTGTGTGTGTGCGTGCGTGTGTGTGTGTATGGGTGCATGTGTGTGTGTCTGTGTGTACCTTTTCCCTCCACAAATCTCAAGAAGTTTATTTTTTCTTCCACATAACTCCCAAAGTATTACCGCTTTCAAGTGCTGATTCTCCTGTGCTTAAACTGCTGGTTTTCTACACATAAAAGGCTGGGAAGGGTTGTTTTTGGCAGTTGCTGATACAGTTGGCATTCACTGGAATTAAGTGAAAAAATCCATTGCCTAAAAGGTGACATTTTATAAATGGATGTCCTATACCAAATAGGAAACTGCATGAAGTCAGATATGTTCTTTCTTAAAATTAACTGGAATCGCTGTAAACTGCACTTTAATCTCAAAGAACACACTTGTAACGTTATCTATGAAGTGAATTTTAACATATATATGGTATTTTGGAGTTCTGTGAAAGTGCTTTTATCTGATTTGAAATACCATTGTTTGAACAGTGTGCCAGTTGTCATGTTATCACTATAAATCTTGCACTGAACTGGAAGTTCCCTGGCTTTCCTGCTGCCTAGCATCCACCCCCCCCACCCCTCCGCCCTTATTGTCAGCTCTGAAACCACTTTCCTTTTGCCCAAATCCCCTGCTGGGTACAATCATTTTACCAACTGAGGCACAGCTCTGTTTCATTTATTTATGACCAGCCTTCTTTTCTAGGTTGCTTAGAGAACCATATATTATTACTGAAATAAATTGTTACAACTGAAAAAGTCCTTGACAATCACTCAGCACTCAGTCCAGCCCTTTCATGTGATAAATGAGGACCAGGAAGTGTGAGTAAGTGCCCTGCTCAAGTTCAGAACTTCTTAGTGGCCTTGACGGAAACAGAACCCACATATCCCAATATTAGCTTCCTGCCTTTTCCTGTTCTTCTCCCTTTGATAGGCTGCTCAACATTTAGTCAGATTTGGTATGATAATCTCTGGATAGATCTGATTGTTTATTATATAAAGCAACATGACTTTATAATCCTCAGAAAGCCCCAATGTACCCAGAACCTGTAATCTTCAAACATTTCTTTGAATTTAATCCATCGGATCTTTGTTTTAAGGGATTCTGTGTTTCACATAATATCTCAATCCTGTTTCACTGAGGGCTCAGCTTGAATCTGACCTTTGCACATTGCTGGTGCCTGGAGGTCTGGTACAGGATACTCAAGTAAGAGCCATAGGAGCCCTTTGGAAATAAAAAGAACCTTTGCTCCAGGACAAAGAAGGCGTAAAACGTGGAAGCTGGCTGGATAGAAGGTCTCAGTTGGGAATGGGGGATAAAAATAGGGATAAGCAGTGAGGAGAAGAGCCAGATTGTCTCACTAATATGTGTTCTCTAACCATGCCACATGAGCCAATGAATATATCCAAAGGAGGGAGGTGTTAAAAAGAAAGGTAAACAAAAGAAATTAAATCAGAAAGGCTATTTTAACTAAAATCTCCGTGAGACATTTGGTGTGTAAGGCAGCACTTAAGTTAAAACCAGAACATCAGAATAGCTCAAGTCAGTTTTAGAGCTTCCACATGGAATTCAGCACTGCTTAAATTGATGGCAGCCTTCAGACAGCTCAATGCTCTGGTATCAGTGGGATCTATTACCTAACTTTTTCTCTGGATCAGACCCCAGACTCTTAACCAAGATCTTGTGTAAGAAAGATTACAAATGGCTACAGAGTGTAGGGTCTATTTGAATAAGGGACTGAGAAACTTTTGGGTAAATCAGGAAGGAAGAAGTAAAACTGTCACTATTTGCCAATGACATGATACCATCTCCATATAGAAAAACCTAAAGATTCTACGAAAAATCTGTTAGAACTAATAAATGAATTCAGTAAAGCTGTAAAATAAAAAATCAGTGTATAGAAATCTATTGTATTTCTATACACTAATATTGAACTATTAGAGATATTAAGAAAATTCCCTTTATAACTGCATAAAAAAGAATAAAATACCTAGAAATAAATTTAACCAAGAAGGTGAAAGACCTGTACACTGAAACCCACAAAAAATTGATTAAAGAAACTGAAGACACAAATAAATAGCAGGGTATTCTGTGCTCTTAGAACAAATAGAAGAATTCTATTTGAAGAAGAATAGAATAGGATAGAAGAATCCATACTACCCAAAGCAATCTGTAACTTTCAACACACTTCCTATCAAAATCCTAACGGCATACTTCACAGAACTAGATCCAATAGCTTTAAAATGTGTATGGAACCATAAAAGATTTCAAATAGCCAAAGCAATCTAGAGAAAGAACAAAATTGGAGGTATCACCTCTCTGATTTCAAACTGTACTACAAAGCAATAGTAATCAAAACACTATGATACTGGTACAAAAACAAACACAGAGATCAGTGAAACAAAGTCAATAGCCCAGAAATAAATCCACACATATGTGGACAACTAGTTTACAACAAAAGAGCCAAGAACATACAATGTAGTAAGGACAGTTTCTTCCATAAATGGTGTAGGAAATATTGGTCAGTGGCATGCAAAATAATGTAACTACCTTATACCATCATATATAAAAATTTACTCAAAATAGATTAGAATGTAAGTTTTGAAACCATAAAATTCCTGGAAGAAAACATATGCAGTAAGCTCCTTGACATCAGTTTGGAAATGTTTTTGTGGCTCCAACTCCAAAGGAAACAAAAACAAAAACAAAAAAAATAATAAAATAAAATAAGTGGAAGTACCTCAAACTAAAAAGCTTCTGCACAGCAAAGGAAGACATCATCAAAATGACAAGGCAACCTACTGAATGGGAGAAGATATTTGCAAATCATATAGTGGAAAATCATATATTCACAAACTGTGTAAAGAGCTCATACAATTCAACAACAAAAACAAAACAAACCATGAAGTTAAAAAAATGGGCAGAGTATCTGAATAGACATTTCTTGAACAAAGACATATAGATGGCCAACAGGCCCATGAAAAGATGGTCAGATCACTAATATCAGGAAAATACAAATCAAAACCACAATGAAATATCATCTTGTACCTGTCAAAAAGGCTAGTAGCAAAAAGATAAGAAACAGCAAGTGTCAGAGAGGATATGGAGGAAAAGAATGCTCATGCACTGTTGGTGGGAATGTAAATTGGTGCAGCCACTATGGAAAGCATTATGGAGATGCCTCAAAAAATGAAGAATAGAACTACCATATGCTCTAGCTATCCCACTACTGGGAATTTATTAGAAGAACAGAAACACTAATTTGAAAAGATATTTGCACCCCTATGTTCGTTGCAGCATCATTTACAACGACCAAGATGTAGAAAGAACCCAAATGTCCATCGATGGTTGAATAGATAAAGAAGATTTTAAATGGATTACTACTCAGCCATAAAAGGAATGAAATCTTACCATTTGCAGTGACATGGTTGGACTTTGAGGGTATTATGCTAAGTGAAATAAGTCAGAAGAAGAAAGACAAACACTGTATCACTTCATGATTTCACTATGTGGAGTCTAAAAAGAAAACCAAAAAAGGAATAAACAAACAAAATGAAAACAAACTCATAGACACAGAGAACAGGTGAGGGTAGTTACCAGAGGAGATGGGGATTGGGGGCTGGGTGACAGGGGTAAAAGTGATAGGAGCCTGAGTGGCTCAGTTGGTTGGGCGTCTGACTCTTGACTTCAACTTGGGCCATGATCTCAGGGTTGGGGGATCCAGCCACACTCCGTAGCTGTTGGGCTCCCAACTCAGAGACTACTTGGGATTATCTCTGTCAGCCTCTGCCACTTGCCCCTATTCTCTCTCTCTCTTTCTCTCAAATAAATAAATAAAATCTTAAAAAAAGAGAAAGGGATAATAAGGGGGGGTCAATTGCAGGGTCATGTATGATAGCTAGACTTTTGGTGATAATCAATTTGTAGTGTATGCAGACATCGAACTATAAAGTTGTAAACCTGAAACTTATATAATAAAAAAAAAAAAAAAAGGAAAAATATCATATGTCTTCTACCTGGAAACCCAGTCCATAGCAACTTTGTGCATAATTGATTTGAACACCCGTATTGTGTCTTTTGTATGCTATTGTAATAAGCATACTAATTCCAAAATGCTCATAGGGAGAACAAAGAATTCTACTGTAGCCCATAAAACTGTGTATTTTTGTGTATCTGTCTGTGTCTACATGTGAATTTAAAAATATATTACTGTCATATAGGTATTGAAGTCGCTATTTCAGTAGTGGCGCTTGTCAGAATAAATGACTTTGTTTCTTAAAACAGCAACAAAGAAAGACTGAAAACTTTTATGTGAAGGACTTTTCTGGAAGGTCTGAACAAAAAACAATCATGCTTTTATATCTGTCTTAGAGTAGGAAGGAAGGGGAAGACATCTTTTCCTCTTTACCACCCTGCAATACTTTGGTATTACATTTTAAGGATCTCACACGGTCAGTGGTGGTGATGCCCAGTGTCACCTGCTGAAAAATGGCAGCCACACCTGCCAGACAGTGTAGAAGTTGCTGAGAAGATGAGCAAAACAAGAGATGACTTTTGGGAGCTATTCACAGTAGAGGCAGCATCATGCCCAGTTGGAGCACGGGCACCGACAAGATGTGGTATTGTCATCCAGGGGGTGCTTATCAGAGTCTCTGTAAACATTTGCGAGACCTTTCATGGGACTTCACAGTTCCCCTGGGGAGAAAATTCAGAGGCTGTTGAGGTACCACATGAGCAGGTGGAGGAAAGCCTATGGAAACTTGAGTTATGTTTGCTCTCTACTTCTCAGGTCTTTTGATCCTACTTGAATTGTCCATTTTAAGGGTTGGAAGACCATCTTGTATTTCAAATTTATAAACTAACACTTTTGTGAATACTGGCATTCTCATGAAGGATTGCGGTATATTACTATTTTCTTGAATTTCCTAAAATAATAACACTCTCTGGATGAACAACTTACAAATTAACTTCTCTGTAATTCACACTGTGATATTACAGAGTTTATTTTCTCTTTTGTAACTTTACATATTTAGGTTAAAAAAATTTCAGTTTTCAAATTTTTCAGTTTTCAGATTTTTCAGTTGTCTCTTTGCTACAGTGACAAACAGCATAGGAGTAACAGGAAAAACAGAATGACTTCATCAGCAACCTTTTCAGTGTCTTAACTTTCCTTAAGATCTCATGTCCTTGGTCAAACCGAGTCTCCAGATGGCACTGTTGTCAGAAAGATCTAGGAAAACAGATGACCCGAATATATTTTTATATCTGTGTTTCAGTTTATAAATCACTTGTTTTGTGTTTGAAGTGTTTTTCAGGTCAAAGCAGTTTTGAGATCCCTCTTCAGCAGTTACTTGCCATTCTTACCTTATTCTTCCCATTTTCTGTATATTAGATACTTTTTCAGTCTGGAATTTATAGTTCCCAGTGCAATACCAAGAGCTGGTTGAGAATCCACTTTTCGTTCTCTGATAAAGTTGCAATGACAAAAGTACTTACTATTTGGTTTTTGAGAATTTCTAATCAACATAAATCACCATTATTAATGAATCATATACATACGTGGACCCACGATAGTATGGCCTTTTTTTTTTCATTACTGTGATAAAAATAACATCAGATCTACCCACCTGACAACATCTTATGTTGTCACTTTTATGTACTGTCAATTTTATGTATTGACAGCAATACGGTATTGTTAACTATAGGCACAATCTTGTAAAGCAGATCTCTAGAATTAATATAGTGTGTACTTCTGCACTGAGGCATATTTCAGAATTTTCCTCCCGGAACCTCCTTATTATGACATATTCTTTATTTTGCAGTAGGCTTTGCACACATTGGATAGAAGGCTTGGAATCAGAAGCATGTGTTTCTGTAAAAATTAGCCAGACATCGTGTGCTTGCTTTCCGAGTAAATGTTTATAACCTCTGTTCTTGGAGCTACTTCTTTGGATCAGGTGAACATTTGTACATGGAGGGCAAGAGGGTAAATGTTTTCAGGTTTACACCATTTTTCAGAATGTATTCATTGCTGTTTGTTACAAATTGGTTCTCCATTAGCATGATAAGTAAGAAGCCAAATAGCACATTCTTTGTTGAATAAGGTATTCAGAGAGTTATAGTCATAAATGACCTTGAAGTACACGTGGGGCCACCCTCCAAACCACCTTCCCTGGTCTAAACACATCCTACCTTATCTTGGCCTCCTCTTTTAACAATAACTTTCAACAATAACCTTTGTGTTAAGGCACTGGTGCAAGGTCTCCTGGAAGGCCCTGTCAAAATGTGCATACTGCCTTGGAGGGACAGGAGGGCTGTTTCATTAGCACAGTCTGGCAAACTGCCACCTTCAGTCATTTAACATCTAGTAATTGAGCTTTTTTATGTGCAAGGCAGTGTAGTCAAATGAGGAGAAAGGTGGTTCCCTGAGGACATGAGGGATTGTTAATATTTGATGGCTGTGAAGACAAAAAAAATATTTAAAGCATGGGGAAAATGGAACATTTCAGGACACAGAGATACCTAAATGGATGCAACTGGGCTCGCTCACACAGCAGTGTGTATAAAGGGGCAGTAGAGGGTTTGTCTAAATGATATTGAGATGGAGGCAATAACTTTGTTTAGAGATTTTTTTTAAATTCAGCGAATAAATATTAAGTATGTACAATGTGTCTGGCCATCAAGGACCTAGGAACATGGAAATAAATAAAAGTGGCAAAACCCTTGCCCTCAAGGAATTTAGGGGCAAGTGGTACAGGCTGTAAACATACAAACAAGTAAATGTGTAATGGCAGATGGTGATAAGGGATACAGAGAAAAAGAAAATGAACTGAGGGGTATAGGCAGTGCTAGGTGAAAAGGGCTAGGGGCACTGGGTGGGGTGGGGGGATGTGTGTTGCCATTTTGTTTAGAGAAGACCTGAAAGGCCAGATGGAAGTCAGGGGTCAGCTATAGGAAGGGGCAGGTAGAGAATTTAGGATAGAAACTACAAGTTCAGTGGTCAAAGGCAGAAAAACAGTGTGTTCAAGGACTAGGAAGGAGGTCAACATGGCTTAGAGAGAGCAGGCTGAGTGAAAGGATCCTGGGAGAAGTTAGAGAGGAAGTATGTGGAAAGCAGATCACAAAAAGCCTGGAAACCTAGCACATGCCTTGGATTTTACTCTGGATGAGCTGAATGGAATCCTCTGAATGAGGATTTTCAGCTGTGGAATGACATTCTCAGACATAGTTTAAGAGGACATCCTGGCTGCTGAGTTGAGATTATACTATATGGGTTCAAGGGTAGAAACAGGAAGATAGAAAGTATTACAACAATTCGAAGAGGAATAATGGCAGCTTTGATCCAAATTGTATTGGCGGAGGAAGTGGTTAGCAGTCAGATGTGGGATTTTTATTTGAAGGTAGACTTGGCATGATTTGCTGTTTTTTAATATGGACTGTACATATTGGTGCTTTTACCTTGAGGGTGGAGGTGTGTGGGGGTGGGCTCTGTACACAGAGCCAAGACTTGGGAATCTAAAGCTACAACACTCACTTTTTGTGGTCTTAGAGTCATGTGTAAAATATCCAGTAGTTGAAATGGCCAAGTGATTACACTATCCTGTGGAGTCCGCTCTAGTAGAGTATCTTCAGAAGACACGAACAGTTCTGAAGAGCCCTCTGTTAACAATCAAAAGATCCAGGCTTGTTTGAAGAGCCAATGTTGGATATAGTGCAAACTACTATTTTTCTCTAGTTCCAGGGTGGCTTAGGAGTTCAATTTTTCTTCAGTCTTTTGGGGTTGTGATGGTTAATTATATCTATCAACTCGACTGAGCCATGGGGTGCCCAGATTAAGCAACATTTTTAGGTGTGTCTGTGAGGATGTTTCTGGATGTGACTAGCATGTGAATCAGTGGGCTCAGTAAAATACATTGCCCTCTTCAATGCGGATGCCTATCAGCCAATTTGTTGAGGACCTAAATAAGATAAAAAATGGAGGATTGTTCCCTATATACCTGTTCAGCTGGGACATGGGTCTTCTGCCCTCAGATTGGGATTTACTCCATTCGCTCTCATGGTGGAGATTCAGGCCTTGAGACTAGACTGGTCTCCAGTTTACAGACAGCAGATCGTGGGACTTCTCTGCTTCCATAAACATATGATCCAATTCCTCAGAAATAATCTATCTCTCTCCTGTTCTATGTCCTCTGGGGAACTCTGACTAATACAAGGACTCTTTAAGCTACAAGAAATTTCTAGTTGAAGATATAATCATTTGCAAATAAAGTTTGATTCTGAAGTAAATTTTAAAGGAGACAAGAATTGCCTTTGATCTACTTTCACATTCAGGGCCTTCTCCTCTTTCTAGATGCTTTTTCAAACATGTGTTCTATCACATTCACATTTATCATGGCCCTACATAATTCTGAGCTAAAGTATTTACTTGTGACTTACTCTATTTAATAGAGTACCTCAGAGACCAAAATTTGATTTGACCTGCACAAAAGTCCCAGAAATAGAGCTCTGTGATTGATGGTGACATAGTAATTTTTTGCATTTTTGGAGGGTAGGTACCCCAGACAAGTACCCACAAATCACATCCTTTTTTTTTACAACTGCTGCAAGTGAGATGCACTGTTCTATTGAGACACTTGCTAAATCCCAATGACCAACTGTTTGTCAGCAAATGTTTACTGACTTCTTACTGTGTTCTAGACCCTGTGCTGGGTGTGGAGTCATAGCTATAGTGAAACAATCAAGACAACAATTCATATAAAGTGACTTATTAGGGACTGTTCCTGGAAAAAAAAATTAAATGGAGTGGGAAGATAGAATGAGGAGGAAGGAGGCCTAGTAAGTGGGTGGTATCAATGAAGGTCATACACAGGGTAACTCTGGATCAGTTCCACAGGGGAGTTCTGGAGATAGTAGGTCACAGCTGAGAGCTGCCCTGAACTTGGAGCAAGGAAGCTGCTCCAGGGAGAATGTTAGTTCTAACGCACTTCCAGATCTCCCACGAAAGGTGGGCAGAGTAAGTTCATGAAGCATGAAAAGGGTTCAGGCAGTTGATATTGAGAATAAGAGTACATCTAGATATCTGTGAGTATGAACATGGTAAAAAGATCAGAGGGGATATGGTAGGGTACCAAAAATGTCTTCTCCAGATTACTAAGTATACCACTCAGGTCTATGTATACTGAATGTTAAATTGACTCCTCATGCTGCAGGCTATGGGCTGGAGAGGCAAAACCATGCCTAGAATGTAGAATGGGTCTGGCCTGATAAACTCATCTCCAGGTAGGTGCTTGGTCTCTGTATGCGATGGTGCCATAGTGAGGGTTTACTATCTGTTTCTGCTGCTGATTGGTTGGATGTTCAACAACATCAGTCATTGTATCAGCCTTGGTGAGATAGCCCAAGCTGTTGGGTCCATGAAGAGCTTCCACCTCTGCTATGATGGCAGCTGGGTCTACTGTGCTAGTACTAGGATAGAAAGAACATGTAGTGTTTCCTTAATCTTCCCCAGTCTTTTCTAGGTGAACTGGATGCAGCAAAATTAGAAGATTAGGGCAAGGGGCGCCTGGGTGGCTCAGTCAATTAAGTGTCTGCCTTTGGCTCAGGTCATGATCTTGGGGTCCTGGGACCAAGCCCTGTGTCAGGCTCCCTGCTCAGTGGGGGGAGTCTGCTTCTCCTCCCTCTTCCTCTGCCCCCCCCCCCACTGCTTGTGATCTCTCTCTCTCTCTCTCTCAAATAAATAATAAAAAAGAAGAAGATTAGAACAAAAAATTAGGGCAGATTAAGGAAATCTGGGGAAGAAGCATGTGGATAGATCTGTGAGAATGGACACAAAGTGTGTAAAAATTTATCCTGCAAGTTGATAACCACTGGATAGCATCCACTGCAGAGCTTGAGATAAACAACCTGTAGATATGATGTCTCATTCTGTAGACATCATGAAGCCTCTATCCTTAGCCACCTCAGTACTAGCATAGTAGACCCATGGATATGTCACTGGCCAGAGGTGTGGGGCCAGGGGACACACTGTGAGATAGACTTGGGTCAGGACTCCATTATCATCTGACTGCTACATGATGTACCCACTGTTATAAGGGTTCCATGATGATGTTTTGGAAACTTATGGTATCAATGTTAGCTTGGATCCTGTAGCTAAAAGTACAAGGCAGATATGGATATTCCCTGTTTCCTAGTGTAAAGTTATTTGTATAAATATTCACAGTATTCTTCAGGGAAGACAGAAAAGACCAATATTGCATATCCTTGCTGTGGATTGCAGGATTCTTCTTCAGGTGGACTTGAACTTTCCTTTAAATAATGGGGTCTGTCTGAAAACTGGGTCAATTCTGGAAACTGGGAAAGGGCCTTCATTCGTCCATTAGTGCACATGACATTAGTCTTCTGTTAATCTGTTCTTCATTAAAAACATTTTTTAAATTATATATTATCAGGTAATGCCCTTGTTCTCTGTTCATCTGTCTCGTCCTAGAAACAACTTGGTTTATTAGATATCGCTACAGATACTTGCTTTGAAGTATCTGGCAGGCAGCTTTGATGCCTGTTATGGTAGCTGTTCCCCTGCCTCTGGTGATTAAGTGGTACTATCTGGTCTCTGCTCTTCAAATCCTACCCTTCCAACTGAGACAAGAAAATCAATTTCATAACAGCATCCCTACCTTCAATCCTACTAAGAACAATTACCAATAAACTTCTTGACAACACCAGTGTCCTTCTCACTAGTACATTCTTTGACACTTAGTAAGAGGAGTGTCTTCTGGTGTTTCCCAGGGAACATGGTCTCCTGGTAGAGTTTTAGGTTTTACATAACTAGCTCGTCCACTTCTTTGAGCCTGCTGATCTCTTTTTCAAACTCTACCAAAGACGCTCTGGTATTTCTACCTTAATTAATATGAGTCACTGGTTTTTCAAAGCTTCTAGGAACAAACTAAACAAAATATATTGACTGTAAGTACCCCTGCTGGGGTTTTAAGTTATAAGAGTGTGCCCCATAGCGAGAAATTCCCCCCTACTGAGCCTTAAAATCTTTTCCATTCCAGGACTTTCAATGTCCATTTCCAGGTATATTCTTTTGGCTCCTTTCAGTACCTATTAGCCAGATTTTGTATGTTCTTGAGTGAATAATGCTTTTCTTCCCTTTGCAGAGGCTATACTTTGCCAATAAAATCATGTTGGTCTAGTAGATAGGAAGAGAGGAATTGACTCATCTTGAGGGACAAGTATAATTTTACAAAGCGTTGGTCTCAGTGGAGAGTTCTATACAGTCTTCAACAAGAGGAACCTGTAGTCCTCCAGTTGGATGAATTGAGTCACATTTTCAGGCCCAGGGGATTAAGGGCACT